CCTTCTCCTCTTAATTTTTTTTTTATGATGAGAATTTATTATAGCTCAAGGCATAGTCATCACAACACCCTTTGTGGGGACTTTGTGGGGAGATTCAATCATCTTAGATTTTCAGTTTAAAAAAATCATTGAGCCTGGCTTGGTGGCTCAGCCTGTAATCCTACGCCTTTGGGAGGCTGAGGAGAGTGGATTGCCTGAGTCCGCGGGTTTGAGACCCACCTGGGCAGCGAGACCTCATCTCTACAATAAATTAAAAAATCAGCTGGGCGTGGTAGAGCATGCTTGTAATTCTGGCTACTTGGAAGGCGGAAGCGGAAGGATTGCCGGAGCCCAGCAGGTCGAGGTTGCGGTGGCCGGGCGCGGCCACTGCACTCCAGTCTGGGCCACAGAGTGAGACTCCAACTCAAAAAAAAAAAAAAAATCATTGAATTGTAGTTACCCTTGCCAAAAGATAAAGAATGAAGCAATTACACATTCCCCTGAGATTGCTGAAATTTGTCCTGTAAATTAACCATTTAAGAAATTCATTGCAAAGGTCAATTAGATCAGATCTGTAATTGTGTTAAGGTTGCACCTGGGTACCCTCTGTTCCTTATCTTTGGTGAGAGGATGGTTATAGAAGTGAGGGAAATCAACAGTTTGCTTGAGAATAGCAATTAATATACACTGTCTGTTTACTTTCCTGTGCTCTAGTCTTCTGCCTGGTAGCCACAACAAGATAGGTGACAGAAGCCATCTCCTAACACCAGGATGGCAAATGAATGGTTGCCACTTTTGAGTCACTGGAATCTAAGGTGTTCCGCAGTGGGTGGAAGGCAGGTGTGTGGCTTTACTGTAGAGTCAGAGTTAAACTTCTGACCCAAATTGAAGAGAAGAGCATTTTGGTATTTGCATGTGTAGAGAGCAATGCTGCTATTCTCACAGTTGCCAGAAATGGAGAAATTTATCTCCTATTTAGCTGCTCTCCAGATGGCTCAAGCAAACTATTTAACATTGATGGTGACTGTTGTGTCATCTGAAACAATGCTTCAGAGAGCTCTGATTTTGGTGAAAATAGTTTTTGCATGTATTCTGTTGTTGAACTTAAGCCCACTATCTTCCAGAATATTTGGGCACATAATTTTAAAAACACTGTAATCTTGGTTTCCATACTATCCTTTCATTTACCCAAGACTTGTACTGAATATAAAATAATGATATAGAGGTGTAAAAGAAAAATAAGTTAACACTCACTGAAACTTGTGTTCCAGAATCACTTCTAAATGCTCTACATGTTTACTCGTTACAAATGTACATGATATAGTCAACTAGCGATTGTTTTATTTTATTTTTTGATGCAACTTAGTAGTTAAGTCTAATGCTCTGAATCTAGTATGTATGAATTATTTGCAAGCATGAAAGCCCTTCAAGAATCAGAACTCAGTAATGTTGCCATTAATTGGCCCAAGTAGGACTTCTTTGCCAGCTGGAAGGGTGGCCTACCAGTCATAATAATGGTTTAAAAAAATGAAAATTGTTTCATTATAATTCTAGGTATTGGAACCAAGGGGCAAGTTTTACAAAGAAAGTAATCAGTAGAATTCAGATGGGGGAGTGGTCCGTGTGAAGACAGCAGGTGAAAGTGAACTGCATGAGCAAAGATTTTCCATCAAGGTTTACAAAAGAGCAATTTTCAAGTGTACACACCTAGTTCTAAATACTAAGCTTTGCATCTCTAAAAACTTAGAATTATAGAACTGGAAGGGACCTTAAGGAATCATCTTTTGCAACTCTCCTCAGTTGAAGAAAACCAAAGCTCAGGAAAATGAATTGATTTGTCCCACATCTCATAACAGAATGATTAGCAGATCTTGACATAGAATCTGGATTCTCTGGCTCCTCATCTTCTGCTCTGTTTCCTCAGCAGTTCTCTCATCTCTTGGGCTTCCAAGGGTAGCTAACATCCAGGCTCTTTTAATTTGTCTTCCTTTCTAGTAGAAAGTGTTTGCTTGCCCCCTGGGCCTGAGGATTAAAAGTCCTTGAATCTTTCCCATGGTCGCTCTTATCGAGAGCACAGAGAAGTCTGGGACTTGGTCTCTCAGACCTTGGATTCTCCTATGGCTACCATGATCCTTGCCAGCACTCTGGGTTGCTTGAATAAATCATTCCTCAAGAATCTGAGGGGGAAATCAATGTTATTAAGCAACTGTTTTCTTATATTTAAGTATAGCAGATATCTAAACAGGTGAATAGCTGGGGTAAAAAGCCAAGTTAATTCGTGACCCGCCTGGGCGGCGAGACCTCATCTCTACAATAAATCAAAACATCAGCTGGGCGTGGTAGTGCATGCCTGTAATTCCGGCTACTTGGAAGGTTGAGGCAGAAGGATCGCCGGAGCCCAGCAGGTGGAGGCTCCCGGCCACCGTGCTCCAGTCTGGGTGACAGAGTGAGACTCCAACTCAAAAAAAAAAAAAAAAAAAGCCAAGTTAAAAAAAAAAGATCAGATTATATGAGTTTACTAAATTATGAGTATCTGGTAGCTTTGTGGTCTTTCTAGAAATATTTGTAATTTTAAAGAAGGATGATACTTAAGCACATCTTTCTTTGGTATAATTTTTAAAATAAACATTTCAGGCAATGGAAATAAATTTACATGCGCACTGGGTAAATCACCCTTGCCTGGAACACATTCAACACCCTAGGCTATTTCTGCTTTTTATAATCTCTTCCCTTTCTCAACTTGTAACTCCAAGAAGTCCAAAGCTTTTTCCTTAATGGTTGTCATTGGCTATGGAGATATATTCTATTCAAATAAGTATAGCCAGCCATTTGCAATTGTAGGTCATTTATAAATTATGAACTTGTAAGTATAGGTCTGCCTGTATTTGCTAATTGCATTAAGAGGAAAAGAATCAGAAAACAAACTGTTTTTGTTACTTCTGCCTGGTCTGGAATTTCAGAGAAGTAAAGGAACACTCCAGTTATCCAGAGTCAGATCCACTGTTAAAAGTTCATGCCATCATTTTGACATGTAGTGTGAGACTTTCTCTTTATAAATCCCTTTTCACGTTACTAGTGCTGGTCCCAGAGCTCAAACTGTTTCAAAACCATAACATTTCTTAGTGAGTGATTGATCTGTATTATGTATCCAGCCATCAGGGGGATCTTGGGATGTTGCTTGTATAAACTGTAATCCAATCTGATGCTGTGCATTTAGTTACAGTCTTTCATAGACCTGTTGGTGATACTCAATCCTCCTGGATTTGGGAATAGGGCTTATCTGATACCTTCAGGGGAAAAAAATCCATTCATTTTTCTCTCTTCCCCACTTAAATAACTCAACACATCTGGTAACACTGTGGGATCATTGTCCTTCCAGTTCCTCTGCAGCTCATATTGCTACAATATTTCTGAAGGATTTGGTTACCTAAAGGACAATGTGATTGAGGAAAAAAAAAAGACTTTGTATAGGTCCTACAAATTAACCCATCTGCAGAGCTCGAAAAAAAATATGCCTTTAAGGTGGGGGTATAGCTCAGGGGTAAAGCATTTGACTGCAAATATGCCTTTAATCAGCAAGACTTCTATATCAGCAGCTCTGTGTGTTATCCAGTATGACTGTAAATATAAATTTGGAGATAAATGCTCATGTATTAAAATTTTAAAGTAAGTGTTTCTACAAATTAACGTAATTTACCTCCAAGAAAATGTTTATTAAATCCAGGGTACCTGAGATTGAAGTATCTTGTTGTTTGGGTCTGTTTCCCTTGGCTTAATAATGTCTTCAATTACAAGAATGATAAAAGCTGAAACAAAATCCTTTAATTCAATCAGAACTAAGCTAAATTTTAGGAAGCAAAGACCCGAAATCTGATACAGGACTGCCTAACATAGGAAGTTAAATATATGTAATATTAAGACTTGTAAGAAACGGACGGGGTTGCTTTCAGAAATTCTTGTTTGAAATGGCTGCATTGAACATTACCATAAATACCACTGTTTTATCCTCTTGAATTAAAATGATTTATGCAAACTACTCCAAATTGTACAGTAGTTCCAAAAAGACCATTTACTGTTTTCTGCTTGTTTTACATTCTGGAACAAGTTCAAAGCTCTTGGTTTTGCTTGATTTTTTTTTTTTAATCGTCTGAGCCTTGAAAATAATACAGGTTTGATGAACACGATTTCAGTACTGCAGTTCTGAAAATTTTTCAGTGTTCATAGTAAATTTGACCCAAAGGCCCCACAACAAATATATCCACAGTACATTTTAAGTACTACAGAATGAACACATTTGAAAGGTTAACCATTCTTTGCTTTTGCTTTTCTTTCTTTGTTTAGTATGAAAATTAGCATTGTAATGGTTCCCAGAATGGGAATACTGAAAAAGTATCCACCTGACAGAAATAAACATGCAGAAAATAAATTGAGTTAAAATTTCATTAGTTATCTGAAATGTAAGCTTATGTTCAAAATGACTATTACTGGATTTTCATGTAGATTAGTTAAATGCTATGCTTATAAGATTTGGGGGGGACTTGAATTATAACGAAAGAAAATTGGATCACAGTTTTAATATCAGGTGCGTAATGCCATTTGCCAGGATATTTGCACATAGCCCGGTTTTTCTCTATCAAGCACAGATCCTCCCTTGCTATTGAGCCTTCAGAAGCATTCTGAGAGCCGGGCTTGGTGGCTCAGCCTGTAATCCCGCGCCTTGGGAGGCTGAGGTGAGTGGATTGCCTTAGCCCGCGGGTTCAAGACTCGCCTGGGCAACTTGGTGAGCCCTCATCTCTACAATAAATCAAAAAATTAGCCCAGTGTGGTAGCGCGTGCCTGCAGTTCCAGCTAGTTGGAAGACTGAGGCGGAAGGATCGCCGGAGCCCAGCAGGTCGAGGCTGCGGTGGCCAGTCTGAGCAACAGAGTGAGACTCCAACTCAAAAAAAAAAAGAAACATTCTGAGGTAACAATGGGAATACATTTTTAAATTGTTTCTTTCCATTTTTCTTCTTGCTTTCTAGGTTGTGGAACTTTTAGCGAGTGCCCTCATGGACTTGGTACAAGGCGTGTACCATGAAAATTCTACCTCAGCAAAGGTAAAGAACTTCAGAGTTATTATAAAATTTTAAGTTAAAAACCCTCGTTGCCAAAACTAGAATTAAACATCGTTTTTGTTTTGTGTTTAAATTGTATGTGCCTTTTTTTTTTTTTTTTTTTTTTTAGTGTTTTGGCTACAAATTCATGGCCATACGCTTGGTACATAGCAGATTTAGCCAATTAAAACAACCTCTTATCCTCTGGCTGGATTCACAGTCTGTTCAATCTGCAGCAGCTCAGTAGACACTGAGATGCTTCTGGCTAGCAGGTAGTGCTGTCACAAGCAGGCAGACTACAGAAGCAGCTTGTGCTGATGCAGCCAGGCCCAGTCTCTCCCTGGAGAAAAGGGCCTTTCATGTCCCAAGAAGATGACTGTGTTGGAGGTACGGGGTAGGGCTGTTTACTATACACAAGACCCAGAATTTACTGCATTATTAGATTCTCTGTGATCAGAAGTAGGATGGTGGCACAGTTGGATTGTTTTGATTAATTTTATAGGTCTAGAATTAGGGATTTTTTGACTCATTTAGCAGGACTTCTCAAGAAAGGTTAGGTTTTATTTCCTTAAAATGCAGTTACTTCATTTCAGTAGGATATTAGATGTGAAGTGATTGCCTCATTGACCACCGCCATCTTCTATCTTAGTGTTTCATTATTCTAACTTCTTTAGCTTCCGTATTAGCAAGGTTTCACTCACTGCAAATTAGAAAAAGTATGCATGTGTGCACATCTTGAGCTTTTTGACATTTTCCTTCACAAAAAGAAAGACAAATTTTACTAGAAGTGAAGCATAGGGCATAAGCCACTTGGAAAGAAGTTTAAATTTTAAAAGTATAATCCAGAGACTCTGGATGGTTCAGAGAGTGGTTAGTAAAATATGAAGAATTGCACCATGGGCATCTGCTAATATTTGGTTCGGGGAACCACAGTTCCCAGCAGACACATCTCACCTCACCTAAGCAGCACATTGGTATGTGAGGACCTCACAGAATCCTTGACCGCAGTTGGACCTGCACTGCAGGGTTTTTCAAAGGCATGCATAGTTTACTACTATGGCCATGGGTTGGTATCTGATTGTAAAATGGCTCACCAGTTCCACTCCGAGAAAGTCACCTTGTATATATAGAAGATGATGAAAGCTAAGCAGATAACACGACAGCAAGTGATTTGCCTGTGTCTTCACAGGACTCCTGAGAGATAGGCACTACTGCTATCCTCATTTTACAGATGTGAAAACTGAGGTTTACAAAAACGTATGTAGGCCGGGCGCAGTGGCTCATACCTATAATCCCAGCCTTTGGGAAACCAAGGTGAGAGGATTGCCTAAGCTCATAGGTTCGAGACCAGCCCGGGCAACTTGGCGAGACCTCATCGCTACAATAAATCAAAAAATTAGCCTGGTGTGATGGCACATGGTTATAGTTCCAGCTACTTGGAAGACTGAGGCAGTGGGTCACCTGAGCTCAGCAGGTTGGGGGCTACAGTGGCCGTGAGCATGCCACTGCACTCTAGCCTGGGCAACAGAGTGAGACTCCAACTCAAAAAAAAAAAAAGAAAGAAAAGGTATGTAATTTTCCCAAGGTCACACGGCTTGTTAGCTGGAATTTGAACTTGAGAGCCCAGGCTCCTATTCTACTGAGTCTATACCTTTATTTTGTTTGTTTGTTTGTTTGTTTTGAGTTGGAGTCTCACTCTGTCACCAGACTGGAGTGCAGTGGCCACTCCCGGCCACCACAGCCTCGACCTCGACCTGCTGGGCTCCGGCGATCCTTCCACCTCAGCCTTCCAAGTAGCTGGAACTACAGGCGCGCGCTACCATGCCCAGCTGATTTTTTATCTGTTGTAGAGATGAGGTCTCGCCAAGTAGCCCAGGCGGGTCTCGAACCCGCAGGCCCAGGCAATCCGAGTCTATACCTTTAATGAAACCTGATTTGACAGCATCTGTCTGCCTTACCTGAGACCCCTCCACATGATGATTTTAGTGACCTGTATTGGCAGTGGAGGCATTGTTTTCCCTTGGGATATTTCCAAGGTGTTCACACTTAGTTCCATATAAGATATTAGTACTTCACAGTTAAATATCTGCTAAGTTTGTGAAAATGTTATTGTTGGTTTTTAGGTTCTTCATGTATCTACTCTTACCTTTTGTCCACTATAATTGACTCAGTTCACTAATAATTTGGTGAACATTTGTTGAGCGCTTTTTGTAAGTCAAGCAGACCCAACAGCAACAACAATAATAAATGCTGGTCGGGCTCGGTGTCTCAGCCGGTAATCCCAGCGCTTTGGGAGGCCGAGGTGAGTGGATTGCCTGAGCCCACGGGTTCAAGACCCGCCTGGGCAACTTGGCGAGACCTCATCTCTACAATAAATCAAAAATTAGCCGGGTGTGGTAGCGCGCGCCTGTAGTTCCAGCTACTTGGAAGGCTGAGACGGAAGGATCACCAGAGCCCAGCAGGTGGAGGCTGCAGTGGCTGAGAGCGGCCACTGCACTCCCTACTGAGCGATGGAGTGAGACACCATCTAAAAAACAAACAAACAAACAAACAATAAATGCTTAGTAGCACTTTACACAGTTTGCTTATGTTCTTTGTGCAAAGTCACCTACGAAAAGGTGACATATGTTGGTATTCCCATTTTATAGAGGAAGTGTCTGAAAATTGTCAGTGTGCATTTGACAGTGTCATGATCTGAACCAGGTTTTTTTTTTATTCCAAGTCCCATGTTTTTTCTAACATTGGTAGTGTTTCTTCCTGGGTGAGAGAAAAGAGGAAGTCACAAAGTCTTTGAAGGACTGTTGTACTTGAATCGCGCCTTAGCAAGCACCAGTTGCTGACTCTTCTTAGCTAAATTTTACACCAAAGAATCTATAGCAATGCTGTAGTTATCAGTCTGCCTTCCCCACTGCCTTCCCAGACTTAGCCCTTTTTTAAGCAGGTAAATTTCTGAAGACAGCCAAACCGTTTAAAGAGCTGTTTTGGGGTGTTTTTTTTGTTTTTTGGTTTTTTTGGGAAAGCAAGATTTATTGAGAGGACAGAAAGAAAAGCTCCCAGAGCAGGAGGGGACTGGAGCAGCTTGCCCGACGGTGCTTCGTGATGCCTCCGTTTGTGCCCAGGTCCAATTTAGGTTAGCCACATTTCCTAACCAGAAAAATGCTGTTTTGTTTTGTTTTGTTTTGTTTCCCTGAGTGTGCTTGCCATTGAGATGGCTTCTCAGAATCTGGCTTTTACTAATGCAGCCCAAGAATCACTGGAGATGGAGAGAGAGCACTGCTCCCCCATGGAGTACCTTCAAGGTTTGCACAACTGGGAAGTAACCACGAGTGGAAGTCACGCGGGAAGTGAGGCAGCCTCTCTGGGTCTCTGTTGCGTGTAGCCTTGGGCCATTCAGTACACAGAAGAATTGCTTTGTGATTAAAAAGAAGCTGCAAATCACTTCACCCCTCTGGGGATGAGAGCATCCAGTAACTTTCAGCTTTGTATATGGCAGCTTAATACAGTGATAGAAAACCTGGGTGGGGGCAAAACAGCTTTGTTTGAAGTAGCATATATGTGACTCCAGGAGGAGGAGGTGCATTAAACAAAGGAAGGAATTGGAACTGGATGCATCTGAATCACTTCCACAAGAAGGTTGCAGGGCAATTGCCTAATTCTCCTTAAAGCGGTGGAAATCTATGGGCCTTATATTGCTCATACTTAACAGACTGTAGTTTAGCTGACTTGTGAGCATGTAAATATGCAAAATAACTTAGGAACTTCATCATTTGTTCTATCTACTAAAAAATGTTTTTATTTTTGAATTTGCTACTTGGGGAACCAGTTCTTCCTTACAATAAACATTAGCCACTGTGCTCTCTTTAGTTTTTATAAGACAGTTCTCCCCTCCCTCTGTTTTGTTAATGATAGCTAAAAGAAGAAAGAAGCATGTTAAATAGAAAAATTGCATTTCATTTTATTTATTTATTTTTTTTTTGAGTTGAAGTTTCACTCTGTCGCCCAGACTGGAGTGCAGTGGCCGCTCCCAGCCATTGCAGCCTCAATCGCTTGGCTCTGGCAATCCTTCCGCCTCAGCCTTCCAAGTAGCCGGAACTACAGGCGCGCTACCACACCTGGCTAAGAAAAATTGCATTTTAAATGGTCATTTGGCATTCTGAACTCCCCAGTTAAGCTCTGTTTTCTACATTGTGCTTATGTTTCTGTACTCTCTGAATATTTTACATTTTTACAAAACTGACTTTGGATCCACAGACCTATGTATCTAAAATCTTTAAAACAATTATCTTATTATTATAACTTATTTTCTGATCAGAGAAGTAAATACATGTTGTTCATATAAAAATTGAAAATAGGCCGGGCTTGGTAGCTCAGCCTGTATTCCTAGCACTTTGGGAAACCAAGGTGGGTAGATTGCCTGCGCCCGCAGGTTCGAGACCAGCCCGGGCAACTTGGTGAGAATGCATCACTCCAATAAATAAAAAATAAACCGGGTGTGGTAGCACATGCCTATAGTTCCGGCAACTTGGAAGGCTGAGGCAGAAGGATTGCCAGAGCCCAACAGGTCGACACTGGGGTGGCCCTGAGCCTGTGTGCCACTGCACTCCAGCTTGGGGGGCAGAGTGAGACTCCAACTCAAAAAAAAAAAAAAAAAATTGAAAATAGAAAAAGGTCAAGAGGAAAATAAAAATTATTTTATATATTTATCCCCCAGAAATGCATCATGATTACATTTTAGTATATTTCATTCTAGAATTTATTCTGTACATCTCCCAATTTTGATTCATTACTGTATATAGCATTTTGCGCTTTGATTTACTTCTAGTATAATCATTTTTATCATTAAAAGTCTTCAAAAATGTAATTTTAATGGCTACTTAATGTTTCTTTACTGTACTATAATTTACTGAACCATTTCACAATTTGGGGGTACTTACTTTGTTTCCCTTTTTTTTTTTTTACAAATTTAAACAATATAGTGATAACATCTTAGTAAAGATAGCTTT